CACTGCAGAACAAAACAAAGGCACTTCTCAGTGCCAACAACAACATAAAATATATTTAACTACAATATCAGATCTTTAAGCAAGCATTACGATGACCTCATAGCATTACTAAATTCCTTACATGCCAATATGTCCATCATTACACTAACTGAAACCTGGCTAAAGCCTGATAGTACAGATGTCTATGCCATTCCTGGTTACACAGCCATACACAACTGTAGGCCAGATCAACAAGGGGGTGGCAAAAGCCATATACTACTCAGACCACCTAGAATGTATCACTAATACTTGCACAAGGGATGAACATGGGGAATTATAATAGCTAAATTCAAATCAAAGTACCTCAAAAACTCTCACATTGATAAACTTACAGATTTCCCACAGTCAAACATTAGCCAATTTAGTCAAAATCAAAGGAAGTATGATAACTGATGCACGCATGAACAAAGATCACTTACTACTCTCAGGTGACTTCAATATAAATCTCCTGCAAGACCAGGACACACGTTACTAAATTCACAAACACAATGAGTAACTGTATGTTACTACCAACAGAAAACAAAACCTACAAGAGTTACAGAGACTAGTGTTTCCTTACTTGACCACATCTGCCCAACACCATATCCCTTTAAAATCAGGCATAATTACAGATAATACCACAGCCACTACCCTATTTTTCTCATAACAACTCTTGGTAAACTACCCCAAGATACTAAAAGTCACCTTCAGACTTCATAATGAGGCGCCATTAATAACTTCACAACAGCAATAGCAAACATTGATTGGCACACTGAGCTAGAAACCTATACAGATATTGCGAATGTATAATAATTTTCTAAAAAAAAACCCAAAAACCTCTATAACAAGCACTGCCCTAAAAAAACTAAACAGATGACAGCAAAGAGACTGAACAGTCCTGGCTAACACCCAGCATTCTCAAATCCATAAATACAAAACACCAATATGAAAAACAGTACAGAATGGGTCACATAACCAGAGACCAAACAAAACGTTACTCGTCAATCCTAACCAGCCTGATAAGAAGGGCCCAAAAAAATTATATTATGAGAACAGATTATCCAAAACTTACGAGGTGATATAAAAAAGACCTGGAAAACCCTATCAGAAATTCTGGGAACAAAAAAGATATCACGAATAGCGAAATAAAATTAGCAAAAAAGATGAACCCCAACCCCCACCAACAGAAACAGCAAACAGACTCAATGATTTCTTCCCCACTATAGGACAAAACCTTGCCAATAAAATCCCAAGCTCAGATACCCCACCAAATGACTACCTCCCCGGGCACTACCCAAACCACTGTTCTAGCTCCGACTAACCCATACGAAGTCTCCCTTATTATCAACGCACTAAAAAACAAGGCAGGAGATTTAAATACCTTCCCACCCCTTATATACAAAAAAAGTGTCACAAGGCTATCCCCAATCATGCAACATCTTTAACAAATCCATTGAATCCTCCACCTTCCCTACATTTACTCAAAATTGCAAGGGTCACCCGCCCACAAAGGAGGAGACCAAACAGAGTTGAATAACTATGGGCCCAAATATCCAATTTACACCCTCTCTCAAAAATTTCGAAAAATTAATTCTAAACGAATCTACTCCTACCTTATCTCCCAAAACATACTCAACCCGCCAATTTTGGGATTCAGGCCTAATAAAAATACTAATGATGCTATTATACACATGCTAGAACATATATACACGCAATAGAGAAAAGAAGGTCCCACTGGGGATTTCATTGACTCGTAAAGCTTTTGATACAGTTGACCATGACTTGCTCCACGTAAAATTTTGTCACACTATGGTATATGAGGGCACTCCTCAAATACCTCAAGTCTTACCTCAGCAACAGAAGCCAATATGTGTACGCAAATGGGGCAAACTCTTCTGCACAACCAATTACAGTTGGTGTCCCACAGGGAAGTGTCCTTGGCCTCTTCTCTTTCTCCTATACATAAATGACCTTCCAAATGCTTCGCAATTACTCAAACCCACACTATTTGCAGTGACACTACATACGTCTTCTCTCCCCCGAGCCCAGTCACGCTAGCCAATACTGTAAATACCGAATTACAGAAAATATCTACCTGGATGAGGACTAACAAACTTACACAAAAACATTGACAAAACCTACTTCATTCAGTTTGGTAACAGAGCTACAGATGTCCCTCTTAACATAATGTAAATGGATCACCTATCAAAAAACTAACAGAAGGGAAAATTTCTTGGGAATCCACCTTGATAATAGACTCAAATTTCATACACAATAAAACTCAAATTTCTAAGAAAATTCCAAGACTGTAGGCTTTACAAATCGAAGATACGGTACTATGTTCCACAGTCAGCCCTCCTGGCCCTATATCACTCTCTTATTTACCCCTATCTCACCTATGGAATTTGTGCATGGGGCTCAACAACAATTAACTATCTCAGACCACAAAATTACCCAAAAAAAGGCTGCATTTAGAATGATAACAAATTTCACTACAGGCAGCACACTCCACCAATATTAAAATACCTAAACCTACTCCCATACAAAACATCCATACTTATTACTGCCCCTATTACATACATAGAACACTTAACTTGATATTAACCCTCCCCTCAAACTTTCTCCTTGCCAACCTCAACAGAAACCATGACCATAACACAAGGCACAGATCACTCTTTGATGTTCCTGTGTCCATCTCACACTATGCAAAAACTCAATGCACATAAAAGGCCCTAAAATCTGGAATTCATTCCCTTTGTAAATTTTAAAAGAAACACAACCTGTTTAAAAATTCAAGTCTCTCTCAAAGATTACTTACTCACCCAAAACCAATAAATCTGAATAACTGAACATTATAAATTGTATATCTTAAATGTTTCTCACAATTATATCACATAAATGTTAAACCTAAAACCCAATCTAACTTTATTATTTTTTAAATACACTACCTAACAGAATCACTACCAAAACTGAATGCAACCATATGACCTTTTCTTTGTAATACTCACTTGTGCTTTATAGTTATCTGTTTACATTAATGTTTTATCACTGATTTCATCATTGCTTAGTAGCAGCGCTGTATAGTCCTTGTGGCTTAGCGCTTCTTTTTGATTATAATAATAATCATTGCTTAGTTAATCTTAAGTTAATTTTAAGCCAGCCCGTAATGCTATGCATAGTATAAGTGGCTTTGGCATACTGCTCTTATCTGTATTTTTTTTGTACCTCTGTATGTGTGCACAAATTGGAAAATAAATAAATAAATAAATAAGGTTTTGCTATGAGTGGCTTTTTCAGTCAAAATTCAAAATTCAAAATTCGTTTACTTCCTTGCAACTCCACAATGTGGTTGACATATTTTAGGAAGTACATTTACATAGGCAGTTTACAGTGAGGGTTTACAATGATTTGTAGTGCAAAGAGAGCCACTATCATGCCTTGGCATTACGGGCAGTCTAAACTTAGCAGGCAGCAGCGACTCTCCTGCCTGAAATGCCTCGGCATGATAGTGGATTTCTTTGCCCCAATCATGAAATGTAAACGCACGTTGTAACCTTTGCAAAGAAATAAACTTTTCTTTGTTTTGTGAAACGTTTCCTCTAATAAATATCCTGAACTGTACATAAGTGCATTTTTCCATATCTCGTTGGTATCACCATACAATTTTTCATTTCCCGTAGTGTTTTCCAGTTGTAAATTATATGAGAGAGTAGAGTACCTGTATGTGTTTCCAGCACTCCAGAGAATACACTTTGAGGTAATTTTAGGTGTTAAGTTTAATATAAGTGTTTGAATGGGCATGGGTAGTGAGTTACATACACTATTTTATCCAGTAGACATTACAGAGTATTCCCCTTAACCATGTTACCATATCATGGCTTCTCCGTATGTCAAAAGTATTGAAAAAATATTCCTTAATAATCATATTATCTACACATGTCCAAAACATTGAATAAAAATCCTAAATGATTTTTCCTGTTATGCACTAAAGTTAAAGCTTTTTATTTTAGTCATTTTGGACTTTTTTCTGCATTTTGTACTTGTCAGCATTTTCACCAGTAGTACATAAAAACCCACAATAGCCGGACTTGAGTCCTGGAGGTGGGAAGTATAGTGCCTGCACTCTAAAGGAGGAGTCTGAGATATTTGCAATTTGGAGGGACATCTGAACTGTCGTATCTGTACACCCCTGGTAAGACAGTGATAGTGTGAGTGATGGTGAAAGTGTTTCTTTTTTGGGTCACCCTACCTTGGTGGAAGATGGCCAGTGTGTTAAAAAGAAATATACAATTTTTTTGTCAATTTACAATTAGACAAAGTTCAAACAATCGGAGACAGGCGATCTTAACTATGCAAGACAAACCATGAGGGGTGGAAATCTTTAGCTCAAGTGCTTTCATACTCCTCAGCGTGTCATCAGGAGCTGTGCAGAGTTGCAAGGCAACAACTGAAGGAGTGAGGGTAAGTTTTCTCGGAGTAGCGCAGTGCGAGTTTGTCACCTGCCGCAGATTCCGAGAGAGGCTGCAGCAGGTGACAAACCAGCACTGCATGTCTCTGAGGAAACTTCCCCTCATTCCTTCAGTTGTTGCCTTGCAACTCTGCACAGCTCCTGATGATGCACTGAGAAGTGCGAAAGTACTTAAGCTAAGGATTTCCACCCCCCGTGACTTGTCTTGAAATGAAGACAAATTGGAGATGAAATCTAGATGGGTTGTCTTTCTGACTTAAACCATTATGAAATTTTTACTTGATAATGATATACCAAGAACTGAAATGGAGAATGTGAGGTAATCAGGTTTGTTCCAAGGAAGAAGAGGATAACTTCAGTTCTTGATATCAAGATCTATTTGCCAGCATCAAGGGAACTCCACAGAAGGTAACTGGTATGCAATGCATACTAGTGGCTTTTTTTTTTTTTTTTTTTTTTTTTTTTTGCTTAACAATATTTTATTACATGTAAACAACAAAATCTTTGTGCCACATAAAAATAAGTTAAAATATGAATTTAAATCTAAACATTTCCCAAATTTGAGAGTCAGAAATTTTTCTCGTATACTTATGCATAGTATGTATATCTTCTATAAACATGTATGTTGTGGATTTTTGGAATGTTTGTTGATTAGTTTTGCTTATTTAAATTGATATAATGATGTATATAATAATGTAGTGTACATCAGTTTGTAGTGTAGAGTAATTACTTTGCATCAGCTGTAACGTTGCATGCCTAACCTAACCCAGCCAGATCTAACCTTTCTTCTGTAACCTAACCAAGGTTTAGTTACTACTAAATGATCTAATTCAGTTATCTTTATTTTGCTACTGTTGCATTTACTCCTGTTAATTTGTAATATATATCAGAATTGTTTTTTGCAGGAATTTGATTGCATTTATCTTAATTGGCAGGTTAGCCCAAAAATACACAACATATATGTATATGAAAGTGTTAGAAAAGAATATATTTTTCGATTTTGGAATTTATGGTCATTTTGTACATTTAGAATACAGTGGACCCCCAGTTAACGATATTATTTCATTCCAGAAGTATGTTCAGGTGCCAATACTGACCGAATTTGTTCCCATAAGGAATATTGTGAAGTAGATTAGTCCATTTCAGACCCCCAAACATACACGTACAAACGCACTTACATAAATACACTTACATAATTGGTCGCATTGGGAGGTGATCGTTAAGCGGGGGTCCATTGTATTTTAATATACTGTGGCTCTCTTAAGCAAGGCTCCTTGATGCCAGTGAGGGGCTCTTGATGCAAGGAATTGGAGCTATTCTCCCCTTTCTTGGATTAAACCTGATTGCCTTTCATTTTCCCAGACACTATACGACTCCAACGGGTTTAGCACTGACCCAAAACAGAAACACATTCGCCATCATTTACACTATCGCTGTCTTGCAAGAGGCACACAGATATGACAGTTCAGATAACCCTTCAATATAATATAATATACAGTGGAACCTCAAAAATCGAACTGCTTCCAACACGACCAATTATGTAAGTGTATTTTTGTAAGTGCTTTTATAAGTGTATTTTTGTAAGTGCTTTTATAAGTGTATTTTTGAGGGTCTGAAATGGGCTAATCTAATTTACATTATTCCTGATGGGAATGAATTCATTCGGTAAAGGCACTCGAACAGCCTTCTGGACCGAAGAAAGTTCGATATCTGAGGTTCCACTGTAATTTCTTTTTTTACACACTGACCATCTCTCACCAAGGCAGGGTGACCCATAAAAGCAGAAACACGAGTATTTCTTCTTTTTGCATTGAGTAATTTATACAGGAGAAGGGGTTACTAGCCCCTTGCTCCTGGGATTTTAGTTGCCTTTTACAACACGCATGGCTTATGGAGGAAGGATTCTTCTTCACCATCGTAATAATTGCAATTAATATAATCTCTGCCAACAGGATACTTGAGCATGGAGTGGCAGTTGTCGTGTGACAGCGTGTCAAGTGTCACCTCAACAGTCAGTGGAGCTTCTATGTCGTCTTATGCATCGCTGGGGTCCAGGTCGCTTAGTGCAACACACATGACACACTGCAATTCCCATAACCTTAGTCATACACAGTCGGATAGCCTTAACCCTCCCAATCAAGCTAAGCTTAAAAAACGAAGCTGGGTAAGGAGCTTCAAGCTGCAAGATGTTATTAACTTTCATAATAAGCTTACTTTGTACAAATCTTTAAGAGCTTCTCTATATTTAAAAAAAAAGTTTGTAAAATACTTAATACTAACAAATACTTCACTTAAATTTTTTAATGAATATTGTACCTCATGGATATAATAATGATGTGTTACAAAGCCACAAGACTGCATAAGACTGACGAGTGATTGAGCACTGCGACTTTCAGCTTCGGAGTTCATTCCGGCGAGCGTTCGGGAGACACAGCAGGAAACGGAGCAAACAGATTGGCGAGGGAAGCCCCGGAGAGGGTCCTCACGAACTTCCGCTACATCACACCGTCAACTCTGCCGTGAGACACCTGCCTCCGCCACCTCCCTCCTCACACTCTATGTTGACGCTTCAGCAGCAGCAGCAGCAACAGAAATTGGCTTCGATACAGAAGAAACAGAAACACAAACAACAGTAGGTTAATCAACAAAATGATGTTTTAACAGAAACACAAGCAACAGTAGGTTAATCAGAAAAATGATGTTTTAACAGAAACACAAGCAACAGTAGGATAATTAACAGAATGTTTTAACAGAAACAACACAAGCAACAGTAGGTTAATCAACAGAATGATGTTTTAATTGCACATTATTAATGACGCCACTCTAGAAAATGGGACAGTGGTAAGCAGAATCTTTTCATAGTTACCAGGGACTCATTTTCATGCCAGATGGGGAAATAAAGTACAGTTAGCCGGACTTAAGTCCCGGAGGTGGGAAGTACAGTGCCTGCACTCTGAAGGAGGGGTGAGATAGTTGTAGTTTTGAACTGTAGTATCGGGAGACGTCTCGCTGTTAAAAAAAGGGCGAGAGGGGGGTTTAACAGGAAAATTTAGGAACTGGCTTATTGCAGTCCCTCTTAAATCACAAATACGCCAAACATTTTTCATTACAATAGTGAGTTTCTTAAGAAAGAGACATAAAGAAAGCACTGAAGTCATTTGCCAAAATTTTCGTTTTATATAAGGCAGTAACCAGACATGTTCTTACAGTACTGTGGTGTTTCTCAAGAGAATGACCTGTAGAATGCACTGCAACCAAACATTTTCTTTTATTGCCCAAAATGCTCTGCATAATCATGGGCTTTCTGCATAGAGATAAAAATTTTATTTCCTTGCAAAGGTTACAGTGTGTAATTATAATTTTGATTTGTTAAGTACAAAGAAAGCTACTATCATAACGGGGCATTTCAGGCAGTACCAGGGCATTTCGGTCGGAACTGGGGCATTTCAGGCAGATGTCACCTGCATGTAAAAGTCACCCATTCCTCTATAAACACTGTATCATGTGGAAATGACCTTGAATTTGAATTTAGAGAGATGTTTGTAATGAAAGTGACATGTAGAAGGTATTGAAGCCTGTACCCAAACATTTTCTTCTGTTACAGTGGTGTTTGTAAGGAAAGTGACCTGCTGACGGAGCTGAAGCAAGAAGCAACAGAAAGAGAACGAGCACTGACGGACTGTCGATTGGAACTACTGTCAGCCCAACACCAGTTACAAACCCAGGCAGATGCCATGTCTAGACTTCAGGTAATTAATTGTCCTTAGATGTGTAGATAATTAAATTTGTTAATAAGTTGGATTTTGTGAATTCATGAGTTAAAATTTGGATTTTTTAATATAATGTATATAAAATGCATTATAAGAAACTTGAAAATAAATGTCTATCACAGAAATGAAAAGTGCATTAAATCACTCATTTCCCAACTATATGGTAATTGATTACAGGCGAGTATAATATTTCCATAATTAATTTTATAATGCATTAATATTACACAAATAACCCGCACATAGAAGAGAGGAGCTTATGACGACATTTCAGTCCAACTTGGACCATTTACAAAGTCGTAAGCTCCTCTCTTCTATGTGCGGGTTATTTGTGTATCGTTCCAGTCACGGTATTGTGCCTTTTATGTTGTGCATTAATATTAATAAACAAGTGTAACAAGTTTAATGAATCACAGTTTATTAGGTTCAAAGCCCCTTAACAACTCGTGGGTAACTAATGTTACATTTCACACAGATTACAATACCATGGCTGGAAAAATTGACACATAACACATACATATATTTTGAACCATATTGGATCATTATCAAATCTTGTGACTTTATAATGGTCCAGGAGAGACTGAAACATCTTCCAAGGTTCACTCTGTCCAGGAGTGACTGAAACATCTTCCAAGGTTCCCTCTGTCCAGGACTGACTGAAACATCTTCCAAGGTTCACTCTGTCCAGGACTGACTGAAACATCTTCCAAGGTTCACTCTGTCCATAACTGACTGAAACATCTTCCAAGGTTCCCTCTGTCCAGGACTGACTGAAACATCTTCCAAGGTTCACTCTGTCCAGGAGTGACTGAAACATCTTCCAAGGTTCACTCTGTCCATAACTGACTGAAACATCTTCCAAGGTTCACTCTGTCCAGGAGTGACTGAAACATCTTCCAAGGTTCACTCTGTCCAGGACTGACTGAAACATCTTCCTAGGTTCACTCTGTCCAGGACTGACAGAAACATCTTCCAAGGTTCCCTCTGTCCAGGACTGACAGAAACATCTTCCAAGGTTCCCTCTGTCCAGGACTGACTGAAACATCTTCCAAAGTTCCCTCTGTCCAGGACTGACTGGAACATCTTCCAAGGTTCACTCTGTCCAGGACTGACAGAAACATCTTCCAAGGTTCACTCTGTCCAGGACTGACTGAAACATCTTCCAGTGTTCCCTCTGTCCAGGACTGACTGAAACATCTTCCAAGGTTCCCTCTGTCCAGGACTGACTGAAACATCTTCCAAGGTTCCCTCTGTCCCGGACTGACTGAAACATCTTCCAAGGTTCCCTCTGTCCAGGACTGACTGAAACATCTTCCAAGGTTCCCTCTGTCCAGGACTGACTGAAACATCTTCCAAGGTTCCCTCTGTCCAGGACTGACTGAAACATCTTCCAAGGTTCCTCTGTCCCGGACTGACTGAAAAAATCTTCCAAGGTTCACTCTGTCCAGGACTGACAGAAACATCTTCCAAGGTTCCCTCTGTCCAGGACTGACTGAAACATCTTCCAAGGTTCCCTCTGTCCAGGACTGACTGAAACATCTTCCACGGTTCACTCTGTCCAGGACTGACTGAAACATCTTCCTAGGTTCACTCTGTCCAGGACTGACAAACATCTTCCAAGGTTCACTCTGTCCAGGACTGACTGAAACATCTTCCAAGGTTCCCTCTGTCCAGGACTGACTGAAACATCTTCCAAGGTTCCCTCTGTCTAGGACTGACTGAAACATCTTCCAAGGTTCACTCTGTCCAGGACTGACTGAAACATCTTCCAAGGTTCACTCTGTCCAGGACTGACAGAAACATCTTCCAAGGTTCCCTCTGTCCAGGACTGACTGAAACATCTTCCAAGGTTTTCCCCCTGTCCAGGACTGACTGAACATCTTCCAAGGTTCCCCCTGTCCAGGACTGACTGAAACATCTTCCAAGGTTCCCTCTGTCCAGGACTGACTGAAACATCTTCCAAGGTTCCCTCTGTCCAGGACTGACTGAAACATCTTCCAAGGTTCCCTCTGTCCAGGACTGACTGAAAATCTTCCAAGGTTCCCTCTGTCCAGGACTGACTGAAAATCTTCTCCAAGGTTCCCTCTGTCCAGGACTGACTGAAACATCTTCCAAGGTTCCCTCTGTCCAGGACTGACTGAAACATCTTCCAAGGTTCCCTCTGTCCAGGACTGACTGAAACATCTTCCAAGGTTCCCTCTGTCAGGACTGACTGAAACATCTTCCAAGGTTCCCTCTGTCCAGGGCTGACTGAAACATCTTCCAAGGTTCACTCTGTCTAGGACTGACAGAAACATCTTCCAAGGTTCCCTCTGTCCAGGACTGACTGAAACATCTTCCAAGGTTCCCTCTGTCCAGGACTGACTGAAACATCTTCCAAGGTTCCCTCTGTCCAGGACTGACTGAAACATCTTCCAAGGTTCCCTCTGTCCAGGACTGACTGAAACATCTTCCAAGGTTCCCTCTGTCCAGGACTGACTGAAACATCTTCCAAGGTTCCCTCTGTCCAGGACTGACTGAAACATCTTCCAAGGTTCCCTCTGTCCAGGACTGACTGAAACATCTTCCAAGGTTCCCTCTGTCCAGGACTGACTGAAACATCTTCCAAGGTTCACTCTGTCCAGGACTGACAGAAACATCTTCCAAGGTTTCCTCTGTCTACGACTGACTGAAACATCTTCCAAGGTTCACTCTGTCCAGGACTGACTGAAACATCTTCCAAGGTTCCCTCTGTCCAGGACTGACTGAAACATCTTCCAAGGTTCCCTCTGTCCAGGACTGACTGAAACATCTTCCAAGGTTCCCTCTGTCCAGGACTGACTGAAACATCTTCCAAGGTTCCCTCTGTCCAGGACTGACTGAAACATCTTCCAAGGTTCACTCTGTCCAGGACTGACAGAAACATCTTCCAAGGTTTCCTCTGTCTACGACTGACTGAAACATCTTCCAAGGTTCACTCTGTCCAGGACTGACTGAAACATCTTCCAAGGTTCCCTCTGTCCAGGACTGACTGAAACATCTTCCAAGGTTCCCTCTGTCCAGGACTGACTGAAACATCTTCCAAGGTTCCCTCTGTCCAGGACTGACTGAAACATCTTCCAAGGTTCCCTCTGTCCAGGACTGACTGAAAAATCTTCCAAGGTTCCCTCTGTCCAGGACTGACTGAAACATCTTCCAAGGTTCCCTCTGTCCAGGACTGACTGAAAATCTTCCAAGGTTCCCTCTGTCAGGACTGACTGAAACATCTTCCAAGGTTCCCTCTGTCCAGGACTGACTGAAACATCTTCCAAGGTTCACTCTGTCCAGGACTGACTGAAACATCTTCCAAGCTTCCCTCCGTCCAGGACTGACTGAAACATCTTCCAAGGTTCCCTCTGTCCAGGACTGACTGAAACATCTTCCAAGGTTCCCTGTCAGGACTGACTGAAACATCTTCCAAGCTTCCCTCTGTCCAGGACTGACAGAAACATCTTCCAAGGTTCCCTCTGTCCAGGACTGACTGAAACATCTTCCAACGTTCCCTCTGTCCAGGACTGACAGAAACATCTTCCAAGGTTCACTCTGTCCAGGACTGACTGAAACATCTTCCAAGGTTCCCTCTGTCCAGGACTGACTGAAACATCTCAAGGTTCCCTCTGTCCAGGACTGACTGAAACATCTTCCAAGGTTCCCTCTGTCCAGGACTGACAGAAACATCTTCCAAGGTTCACTCTGTCCAGGACTGACTGAAACATCTTCCAAGGTTCCCTCTGTCCAGGACTGACAGAAACATCTTCCAAGGTTCACTCTGTCCAGGACTGACTGAAAAAATCTTCCAAGGTTCCCTCTGTCCAGGACTGACAGAAACATCTTCCAAGGTTCCCTCTGTCCAGGACTGACTGAAACATCTTCCAAGGTTCCCTCTGTCCAGGACTGACTGAAACATCTTCAAGGTTCCCTCTGTCCAGGACTGACTGAAACATCTTCCAAGGTTCCCTCTGTCCAGGACTGACTGAAACATCTTCCAAGGTTCCCTCTGTCCAGGACTGACAGAAACATCTTCCAAGGTTCACTCTGTCCAGGACTGACTGAAACATCTTCCAAGGTTCCCTCTGTCCAGGATGACAGAAACATTTCCAAGGTTCCCTGTCCAGGATGACTGAAACATCTTCCAAGGTTCCCTCTGTCCAGGACTGACTGAAACATCTTCCAAGGTTCCCTCTGTCCAGGACTGACTGAAACATCTTCCAAGGTTCCCTCTGTCCCGGACTGACTGAAACATCTTCCAAGGTTCCCTCTGTCAGGACTGACTGAAAATCTTCCAAGGTTCCCTCTGTCCAGGACTGACTGAAACATCTTCCAAGGTTCCCTCTGTCCAGGACTGACTGAAACATCTTCCAAGGTTCCCTCTGTCCAGGACTGACTGAAACATCTTCCAAGGTTCCCTCTGCAAAGTATGAACTGTATATAAAATATTCAAAATGCTATAGTCTGTAAAATAGGTAATGAGATACCTATTATGTAAACACACCACAACACAGGTTACCAGTGCATGCTAGAAGACAGTGTTTAACACTTTATTATTATTATTAACACGTTAGCCATTTCCCACCAAGGCAGGTGGCCTGAAGAAGAAAAACTTTCATCATCATTCACTCCACCACTGTCTTGTTAGAGGCATGCCAACACTACAGTTATAAAACTGCAACATTAATACCCCCCCTTCAGAGTGCCGACATTGTACTTCCCATCTCCATCTAATATAAACAGTTGTGTTTATAATATGAACACTTGTGTTTATAATATAAACACTTGTGTTTATATTAGTTGGAGATATGTTGCAGTTTTAGAACTGTAGTATAAACATGCCTCTGGCAAGACAGTGATGGGGTAGGTTTATCTGGAGAGAGAGTTCCGGGGGTCAATGCCCCCGCGGCCCGGTCTGTGACCAGGCCTCTTGGTGGATCAGAGCCTGATCAACCAGGCTGTTACTGCTGGCTGCATGCAATCCAACATACGAGCCACAGCCCGGCTGGTCAGGTACCGACTTTAGGTGCTTGTCCAATGCCAGCTTGAAGACAGCCAGGGGTCTGTTGGTAATCCCCCTTATGTATGCTGGGAGGCAGTTGAACAGTCTTGGGCCCCTGACACTTACTGTATGGTCTCTTAACGTGCTAGTGACACCCCTGCTTTTCATTGGGGGGATGCTGCATCGTCTGCCGAGTCTCTTGCTTTTGTTGTGAGTGATTTTCGTGTGCAAGTTCGGTACTAGTCCCTCTAGGATTTTCCAGGTGTATATAATCATGTATCTCTCCCACCTGCGTTCCAGGGAATACAGGTTCAGGAACCTCAAGTGCTCCCAGTAATTGATGATGAAGCATAAATGCTTCTTTTTTTTTGGAGTTATCCTGCCATGGTGGGAAACGGCCGATGTGTTTAAAAAGTACTACTGCTGGAAAATTTACCTCCACATGGGATATTTCATTGCTAAACCACCTCCAGGACTCAAGTTCATTGTGGACTTAATAGTTCAGATTATTATAATACAGTATACGTAATAATCACCCTGATGATAGAGTGAATGATGATGAAAGCATTTCTTCTTTTTCTGGTCACCCTATCTTGGTTGAAAATGGCCAGTGTTTAAACAATAAATCACCCTGCCTTGGCAGGAGATGGCCATTGAGGTAAAAAAAAAATACAGCCTCTCCTCACTTAGCGACGTACTCATTTACCGATAACTCAGACTTACAACGGGCTCTCTGACCAATATGCATACCTAAATAATGTATATTAGAGCTGATTTCCTCTATTCTGTTTACGTATTACAATATGCAGTACACTACCGTATAAACATTTAAAAATATACTAAAAATGTTATAAATGGTGCAAAAGTGACATTGAAACAATATCAAAGATAGTTGACACAAACCTACTACCATTATAGTTTGCTCCTCACATAGTAATGAATTCATTTACCGACGTGGTCTTAAGAACGGAACTCCGTCATTAAATGAGGAGAAGCTGTAATTGTAATTGATACATGATGTGAGAAAATTTTGCATTGGGCAAAGTAAATTTGCTTTATAGGCAGAGGTGACTGGTCTGAAGGAGGAAAATGCACGGCTGGTGTCCTTAGTTCGAGGCCAGTACGGACCTGCTGCGGATGCTCTCCTGACTCCTCTGACACACACACTCTCAACCCTCACCCTTAGTAATGGTAGTGTTACTGGTAAGTTCTGTGCCCAGTTTAATATGTTACATGAATATGTAATGGAGATAAATGGTATAAAATACCAACATGATAGAGTTTTTTTCCATAAATATGTAATGCAATTTTCGTAACATTATGGGGCAATGTAAATCCTTTTATCATACTCTATAACTTCACCTCATACTCTATATAACTTTACAGTACATACAGTATGTAATAATAATATTTTATCATGATACATGTTTGTACAAAGGCGTATAACAATTGGGTGTACGTACATGCCAAAAGTCCCTTTATATGCAGAGCATTACAGTAAATTGAGTGTTTAAATCAGAAATGACTTAAACTATATGATGCACTTTGAGAGGTAATACAAATCTGAGTGAATGCTGTTTATGTTCAGGGGGAAGTATAACTCCCCGAGAAGATGGTCGTCACGTAAAAGTGATGGTGGTCAACCAACCTGAGTTGACATCTGCTCAAGACGCTGCCACAGTCACTCTGGAACCTCACCACCTAACTCACATTGGGAACATTAGTGTCGAGTCCAAAACAACTTGGCAAGAACTCGATTTGATGATCACTAACTCACTCAAGGTATTGTGACTTATTTCATGTTAAAGAATTTTTTTTTACACTTCGATTTACAGCTGCCATCGTCCCTCAGTTCATTTTAAAGCCCACACCTTTTAAGGTGTACTACCAAAAGTGGATCTACTATGCCACTAATGAAGCTTAAGCTTGAGGGGCCCCTAATCCCGGAGGGGCCCCAGAAGCGACTTTAGTCCACATTGATTAAAAATTTTGACATGCTGTATGAGAAGGGGTTGCAAAAGGGCTCCCATAACAGTTCAAGGTTCAGGGCCCCAAATATGTAGTCCACCACTGTGTACTACCATCCCACCAAGTTACACACCGTAACAGTTAGCTAACACTCGCACATTTATTTACTTCTAGGTAAACAGGAACAGCAGGTGTGAGATTTTCTTACTTCTCCTCCTGTCCAGGATTCTTCAGATGGGAAATGACTTGTGTGTTTAATGCAATCAAGTGTCTTTTAGTAGGAAGTCAGAGTTTATTCTTATATTTTGATACTGTTTTCATGTCAGGTAGATTTTGATCAAAAGTTCTAATGATTTTTTAAAGTAGGTAAGTGTAATTTGGGATATTGGCAGTTCGGAGGGATATGTTGTGTATCTTTATAGGTATATGCTTCTAAACTGTTGTATTCTGGGCACCTCTGCAAAAGCAGTGATAATGTGCGAGTGTGGTGAAAGTGTTGAATGATGATGAAAGTATTTTCTTTTTGGGGATTTTCTTTCTTTTTTGGGTCACCCTGCCTCGGTGGGAGACGGCCGACTTGTTGAAAAAAAAAAAAAAAAAAAAAAAAAAAAAGTGTAATTTGGGATATTGGCAGTTCGGAGGGATATGTTGTGTATCTTTATAGGTATATGCTTCTAAACTGTTGTATTCTGAGCACCTCTGCAAAAGCAGTGATTATGTGTGAGTGTGGTGAAAGTGTTGAATGATGATGAAAGTATTTTCTTTTTGGGGATTTTCTTTCTTTTTGGGTCACCCTGCCTCGGTGGGAGACGGCCGACTTGTTTAACCCGTAAACGGTCCAAGTAGATCTACGTTAACATGTGTACTGCTACAAAAGTAGATCAAAGTTTTTTTACACATTTTCAAATGTATAAAAACAAAAAGAAGATCTACTTTTTTTACATACTTTCAAATGTTGAAAAAACGTATATATACGTTTGGACCGTTTACGGGTTAAAAAAAATAAAAAAGTACTCATCTCTCCACGAAGAAATGGAGAAGAGTCCTTCCTCTGGAAGCCATGCATGTTGCAAGAGGTGACTGAAATGTCAGGAGCAAGGGGCTAGTAACCCCTTCTCCTGTATAAATTACTTAATGTAAAAAGAAAACTTCTGTTTCTTCTTTTTTGGGTCACCCCGCCTTGGTGGGAGATGGCCAGTGTGGTAAAAAAACAAATACGTATAATCATCTTTGTCCTTCAGAATAATAGTGTAAGTGTGATTTTGGTGACTTGCAGATACTGCCACTTTAGAATAGAGTTTTATGTCCAAATTTTTTTTTCTTTTCCTTCTGCACTTTCATATTTGTCCCTTCTGTTTAGTATATTATTGTTTCTCAAAGCAAGCATGTAACAACAGCATTATGCATGTAATAGACCAAAGCTGCTTGTACAGTTGTTTACAAATTATTCCCATTGCTATAATATAAATTTTGATCTCTGAAATATATTGTAAGATTCTTCAGAAAATCAACATATCAAGGGAGAGGAAATAGAAAATCATTATTGATATTTTTTATAATATTTGTTGAAGCAAATTAATGAACGATTGATACTAATTTCTCTATTGTTCTGTTAACAAGGATTATGGTAATCGGGTCGACCCAGTTTCAGCACTTGGACTGGATGCTGAATCGATTCTCTGCTATCGTGTGGAAGATGTAGTTCGGGCCACCAATCTGCCTCGCCCAGAACTATTACCTTATGGTTACTGTGTTGGTGATGTTGATGCCCTCTACCTGTGGCTCAAGGTATTTTATTATCATAGTTATTCTTTGCACAGTACGTATATGTTTACCCGGAGTTTACCTGGAGTTTACCTGGAGAGAGTTCCAGGAGTCAACCCCCCCGCAGCCCGGTCTGTGGCCAGGCCTCGTGTGTATTAATTTACACAGAGTAGTGCCCCTGTTCAGTAAGAGGAGTAATGGATGCTCGATTCTCCGTCTAGTAATCTAGTGTATCTATAATAGTGTAATAAACACTGACCAATGGCTCAAACTAATCTATACAGAGAAAGCAATACATGAATTAAAATTAGTATACTGTATATTTTGGCTTCACATTGAAGTTCTCTTCAACAGACAAGTCTAGTGACATCTGCTGAAGAGGGCCTTAAGCGAGGCTGAAGTATATAGTGTTATACATATACTGTATATAAAAAAGTATATGTATTTGATCCTACTCCTTTTAATTGCTGTTTTATTGTCTCTGTTTGGGATTGATTTGTGCTGTCTGTTCATATTAGAATATTAGGCAATTTGTTTAATAATAATTGGTACCTTAATCGATACTAATTTCTTATGTTATCACTAGGGTGGAAATCAAAAGAAGGATGGAGAGAGCATCAGCAGTGTCTCAGCAGCATCCTTCAGTAGCCTTACTCCAGCAACATCCATGAAGCGTCTGGCCAACCTCTTAGTGGAGCACCGGCGCCTGGTGCTTGCTGGACCTCCAGCTGCAGGGAAGACCTCCCTTGCTCATGCACTGGCACAGTTCTATGTTGTGAATTCTGGCAGAGAACTGAATGATGATGCTATCAAAACATTCAGGTGAGTGAAGACATATTTACTATGTCTAAGAAATGGAAATCTGTCCTTAATGACATCGTAATTTATTGTGTATAAAAATAGTATAGTGTATAGGTACAAAACCTAACTGTATCTTCTTTATATTCAAGAGTTCCACCTGAGCAAATTTGCCATCAGCAAGCTATTAGTAATAAAAGTATGTCCTAATATCTGATATCTTCAACTAGGTTCTGGATCCACAACTTTTACACTATGTTATAGTATTATCTGTGTGCAAGGCTTCCAGAAACACACTGAAAACAGTTGCATATTTTTGATTCATTATTTGCAGGGATCTGTTTCTTGTAGATATCAACAAGCACACTAGTAAATATACATATATCATAAAGGAGGCTGGAGACAGTGGAGATGCCATGTCTGAGATCAATGTGTGTTTTGAGTGTTAGACGGCTGAGAAGAGGTTGCTAACGTTGTCTGGGTACTTAGAGAGGATAATGAGGTGACAAGATGACAGAGGGTGTATAAATCTGTGGTGGAAGGTAGGAAGAGTAGGGATTATCTCAGGTATGGTAGTTAGGAGGGGGTAAAGGAGGCTTCCCCTTAAACATGAAGAGATAGTTGGATGTTAATTGTACCTGTGTATTAGTGTAGATCAATAGGCATAATATTTGGGCTAAGCCCAATCAACAATTTATATCCAGTCACTTCTATCTAATATTTTCACACAAACCTGTTGGATGCTCAAGCCCCTGAAACTTAAACCATCCTTTAAACTTCCCAGTGAAATAAATTCTTTGGTAAGTACTATGCAGCACCTGTGGAATGAGAGGTAATCTTGTTTGATCTGAGGAAGGGAAGGGTAGCTCTAATTTCTCTAGTCAACAACAGTTGTCAAATGCAAAAACAACTTTGTCCCTACTATTCAGAGTAACAGGTAGCAACACACTGGAACTGTGCCAGATGTTGTCTGGTATGTGGCCACGGGACCTTACCTCCAGTCGCTCGGCCTCCACCCTCTCCAACACCAACTCTGCTGCTTCTGTTGCTGCAAAGTCTCTGAATACAGACGCCACCCACCTTCCCCCAGCTGTTATTATTCTTGATGATCTTCACACTGCAGGTAAGCAGAAAATGGATCTTTTAGCTTATAATAGGTCCAAGGAAAATAGACCATCCAAATATTGAACTTCACCTGAAATTATTATAATCAAAAGTAAGCACTAAACCCATCAGGGGTCGTACAGCACTGCTCTACATCTGAAAATCAGCAGTATTGTGGCAAGGTTTGCACACAAATATCAAAATGAGGGATTCTTTAGTACTATTTGTCATATGACTCTTTTGGGTTTAGTGCTTAATTTGATTGTATTACAGTATTATTATTATTATCCAGTACTGTTTGAAAAAAATTCATAAATGCACAAGTTTTTTGGGGAAGTACTGATCTGTGTAGAACTTTATCAAGTCATAACTTGGACACAAGTGCAACTAATGTGACATTTTATTGTGGCAACGTTTCGCTCTCCAGGAACTTTGTCAAGCCGATCATCGACTTGGCAACGTTTCGCTCTCCAGGAACTTTGTCAAGCCGATCATCGGCTTGACAAAGCTCCTCGAGAGCGAAACATTGCCACAATAAAATGTCACATTAGTTGCACTTGTGTCCTTTTACTTTACATATTGTCGATAATTCTACCAACATTATTACAAGTCATAACTTGATGAAGCTCTACACAGAGCAAAATGTTATACTGTATTTCACAGCTTATAAGACTTGTTTTAGTTTCAATAGTTCGACATCAGACTTAACTGAGAGAGCTACAGCCCACCCCACACTTATAGCTCCCATCACTGACCTTCAGTTTATAGGATGCAGGGTGGTTTTTGGAGACATTTTATGGAAAAAAACGTGTTTAATGAGCCACAAAATATGGTAATTAATGCTTGTTTTGCACTTGTCTTTTCTTCATTATTGTTGGCCACACACATTTACGTCCACTCTAGTGTATCACGATGCTTTGCCCAGCGAGAGGATTTCTCAGAGCAAAATCATGACTCGGGGGTCTTGATATTTGACACCGGTGATTAGCAAAACATTAATGGATATCTTCTTGATATCCAGATCCTAACTGTATTTAGTTCTGGTCTGCTACTCATAATGACCAATGTGACACTAATATAATTCTTCACCACTTTCTCCTCTTGCATTTATTCCACATGGCTATTACTCTCTTCCATTTGTTCCTCATGGTCAGTATCATCTGGCATATATTCACATAGCCATACCATGTTGGGCATCAGTTCTTAGACATTCATTCCACATGACCATACCATCACTAGTATTCATTCCACATGACCATACCATCACTAGTATTCATTCCACATGACCCTACCATCACTATCACTATCAGTCATTCTTCATGATCATACCATCACTAGCAGTCATTTCACATGACCATACCATCACTAGCAGTCATTCCACATGACCATACCATCACTAGTATTTATTCCACATTACCATACCATCACTAGTATTCATTTCACATGATCATACCATAACTAGCAGTCATTCCACATTACCATACCATCACTAGTATTCATTTCACATGACCATACCATCACTAGCAGTCATTCTTCATGATCATACCATCACTAGTATTCATTCCACATAGTCATCCAACGAAGCATGTTAAAATCCCTAGCATGATTGCAGGTGGTGTGGTGGAGACGTTACAGCGGTGTCTTCCTGTGGCTGTTCACACCGGCCCAGCCATCATTGCTACCTGCTGTCCCACTGCGACTCTCTCTACTCGCCTCCACATCCACTGCAACTTCAGGTAAGTAGGAAGCTTCTAAATTAATTTTTGACTGCTTAATAACTTTTGTATAGGCAGTGACAGGATAAAATTAATGATAAATGTAATTTGTGTTTGAAGTTAATGTTATAATTTTTATAAGTGCATGTTATTATTTTTTATTTCTATCAGCATAAAGCACTAAACCTATAGGAGCCATAAGTGCTTGTAGACTGGGAGACATTCAGGCTCATTCCAAGGAAGAATGAGTCCAGTTCCCTGGATCAAGAGCCCCTCACTGACATCAAGGGGTTTACGTGTACATGTGTATAGTCCTAAACTAGACATGTAAAAAAAAATGATTCTTTTATGCATGTAGATACGTTGAAGTTTTTGAACTGCAGTATTGGCATGCCTCTGGCACGGTGATGGAGTGATGATGAAATTTTTCTTCTTATTTTGGGTCATCCTGCCTTGGTGGAAAATGATATATGTATTAAAAAAAATTTCTTTTTCAGATGGGCTGCACTGAATACCCAGCAGGAGCCAGTAAGAGGTTTACTTGGGCGAGTACTGCGCCGGCGGGTTGTTGCTGCTGAGGTTGCTGCTAATACTAGACTCCCAGATGCCCACCACCTTGCTGAATGGCTAACACGCTTGTGGCTTCATCTCAACACTGTGTTATCTGGGCATTGCGGGTCACATGAAGTAGGTATTGGGCCAGGCATGCTGATGGACTGTCCCTTGGGCCACGAGGAGACGCAGGCTTGGTTTACAGATGTTTGGAACACACGTTTAGTTCCCTGCATCATCTCCACTGTTCAGCTGTCAACAACTTCAAACTCTGGCTTGCTCGACACATGGACTGACCCTTTAGACTGGGTTCTTGCGACCTACCCTTGGGCTAATAATGCTGCTTGTGGAACTGATCAACTCACAAGGTTAGTCAAAATCTTGTGCTCTCTTCATTGACTTAGTCCTCAACAAGGTACCCATTCTTGTTGCAGGAATTTGAACATTAAATCAGTAACAAACAATCCATGAGCATGGCCATGCTGGTGGGAGATTCATATACAAAAACTTGCATTTGTGGTCACAGCGTGACCTATGCTAACCTCACTATGGTGTATAAATATACCTAGTTGGTTGAATCTTATTGTATCCACCTGGACCAGTGGCTTACGCACCAGCCTGGAGTTTTACAACTCGTTTGCCATGGGTTCTAACCCCTCTTGTGCTGTGATTTATCAAATCAGTCTATTATTTGGCCTGGAATGCACCAGTTTGAACTGATTGAGACAAGCAGGTGCATATATAATTTAATTGTGTATTTCATTTATACCAGTAGTTTTTATGGATACAAAGGCATACTGCCGAGTGTAATAAAGAGAAAACACAGGCAAAGAGCATGTTTTATTGGTAACAAAGTTTTGGTCTGTGTAAAACTTTATCAAGCCAGTGATGCAATAAATAACTACAATGATGCAATAAATAACTACAGTGATGCAATAAATAACTACAGTGATGCATTAAATAACTACAATGATGCAATAAATAACTACAGTGATGCAATAAATAACTACAGTGATGCATTAAATAACTACAATGATGCAATAAATAACTACAGTGATGCAATAAATAACTACAGTGATGCAATAAATAACTACAGTGATGCATTAAATAACTACAATGATGCAATAAATAACTACAGTGATGCAATAAAAAACTACAGTGTGAATCATTGTCACAGTAAAAGCTTGCTCTGCACCTGTCTCTTCATTATATTCTATTTTTGTTTCATAACTTTACCTTGGGGGTTCTTATGTGTATTTTGTATATTAATTACTCAAGAGTGCTGAGCAGTCTAATAGTTTTCTAGGTTCTTTTCACATCTCAGAACTTCTTTCCTCACTTGACTAAATACTGTAAAAAGAGTTTTATGAGAAAGTGATGAAGATGTGTAGTAAGTTACCTCAGTATATTAATACAAACTAGAACAGGTAATAAAATTGTTTGAAGTGAAGTATGTGTTAGAGCAGAACTAGCCTGACGTTAGAACAAGTATTGATGCAGTTTACACTCACTAACTACTAGAGAGGTTTGTGTAATTACCTACTTGAGCCTGTGGAGGTGAGCTCTAGCTCCTGGTACTTCCTTTTAATTTTTGATTAACTGATGTGGTTTAGTACTGACACACACACACCTATTTTTGAATCAGAGTATTTCCACTTCATCCTTACTCAAGTTATTCCTTGTAAATGCCTTAGTTACATTCCTTTACCTGACATAACTATTAACTTCCGTTGCAACAGAATCCCAGCCTCTGATGTTAGTCAGCAGGATGCTAGTCTACCAGTTGGAAAGGCCGTGTCCCCGCGCCGCCCGTATGTTCCACTCTCGGCTCGGCAACAGGTACTGAAAGCTTCATTAGAAATGTAATATCATTTTTTCTTTTTTAACACGTTAGCCGTCTCCCACCAAGGCAGGCTGACCCAAAACAGAAGCAATTTCACCATCTTTCAACATTTTCACCATCATTCACACATAATCACTGCCCTTGCAGAGGTGCCCAGATACGACAGTTTAGATGTCACTCCAAACATCCAATATCCCAAACTCTTCCTTTAAAGTGTAGGCATTGTACTTCCTACCTAAGGGACTATTTCTTTAGGTAGGACCTACATGATACTTAGAAACCAGTTAAGCTTGTATAATTGTCAGTACACAGTGCAAATGTGTGTAAAACAACTATATATTGTTGTACTGTATACTAACAACTTGTTTGTACACTACAACATCAATACAGGATTTTCTTCTTTTTCAGGTTACCCTACCTTGGTGGGAGATGGCTGGTGTGTTAAAAAAAAAATACTTTGTAGAAACTAAATGTTAAGACTCCAAATGCTATACTGCATTTGGGGTCTTAACCTATCAGAAAAAACTAAAAACAGTAAAGCATTAAATAAGGTTTAAAAATGTTAAAGAACATGGTTAATTCAATTTAATTAACTAATATCTCTCTTCCCATATACAGTACTTTTTTACAGTACTCTATTATTTAGATTATTATTTTTTTTAATACACTGGCTGTCTCCCACCAAGGTAGGGTGACCTGAAAAAGAAGAAAACACTTTCACCATCATTCTCTGTATCACTGTCTTTCTATAGGTGCACAGTTCAGATGCTCCTCCAAACTGCAAAATCTCTAGCTCTGTGGATAATACTTTTAGTAACCTCACACCACCACCTCGTATCTCCAAGCTACGAATTCTTTGTATAATATTTACACCAAACATTGCCCTTAGATATGACATCTCCACTGCCTCCAGCCTCCTCGCTGCAACATTCACAACCCATGCTTCACACCTCTATAAAAGTATTCCCACTTTTGTCTCCACAGATGCCTCAGTGCACCACTCACCTTTTTTCCCCTCATCAGTTTTGTGATTCAACTTTTTTCATAGACCCATCGAGCAACAAGTCCACTCTCAGATATCTGAACATATTCACTTCCAATCTGATATCCTCATTACCTAAATAATTTGTTACCCTTATCACCTTGCTTTTTCCTATGTTCACTTTTAATTTTCTTCTTTTACACACCCAAATTCATCCAGCAACTTTTACAACTTCTCTTCAGAATCTCCAAAAAACACAGTGTCATCAGAAAAAAGCAACTGTGACAACTCCCATTTTGTATTAGATTCTGCATATTTCAATCCCACACCTCTCCCCAACACCCTAGCATTCACTTCTTTTACAACCCCATCTATGAATATGTTAAGCAACCATGGTGACATCACCAATCCTTGTCTAATTTTAACCCGTAAACGGTCCAAGCAGATCTACGTTTTTTTTACATATTTTCAAATATAACAAAAAAAAAAGTAGATCAAAGTTTTTTTACACATTTTCAAATGTAAAAAACAAAAAGATGATCTACTTTTTTTACATACTTTCAAATGTTGAAAAAACATATATATACGTTTGGACCGTTTACGGGTTAACTGTGCATAATTTTCAGTATGAGTTAGTCAGTCACTTTTCTTACACAGATTTTTCATACCAAGGCAGTGTGACCCAAAGATGAAAACTTTTTCACCATCACTTTGGTTAGTCTTCCGATTAAGCAGTACTAACTTTGTCATAAAATCTCGACCTACCCTTTACAAATTTCAACATTTCTCATTGTTGAACATTTTAAACCTATATGTCAAAAGTACATTAATATTTTAATGGTTGTCATGACACCATAATTGCACCTTTTCTCCTGAACAAAAAACAGAGTATCTTTCTAACTGTCCACGTATACTGCTCATTTTCAGAATCATACGCCAGAGTCGAGGTACGCTGTGCTGCAGGTACCAGTGGTTACGGAAGGAATGAAAGGTACAGGTCAAGCCACTTTTACAACTCCAAGAGATTGTATAACCTGTAGCAACAACCAGGATGCTCCACATCATGTTAGTGAAAGTAAGAGAGATGACTGGCAATCCATTAACAGCAATATTACCAGTGAATCTCTCTCAATTTCAACACTTCAGCGAACAAGGAGAAATACAATTGCCACTAGCAGTCTCATCAGAGCATCATCGGGTGTTAATGGTACTAGTGGAAGTCGTGTGGTGATTATAGCAGATCAAGATAACAACAATATAACTGCAAAATTAACAACAGGGAGGAGCAACAATAACAGAAATCCCACAGTGATTAAGGCTGAGAATAAAATACATTTAGGTTCTTTGGCAGATATGAGAGTCAGTGCTCAAGGCATGAGTGAAGATGAGGCACAATTGTCTAGTGAAGACGAGTTAATGGATCAGTATGGTATTCTGTCGGAACAAGATGAAAAAGCAAAGAAATCCATTACCCAAAATCAAAATGGATGTATTGGTAAAGTAGGTGGCATTAAGCCAGTCATACACATGGCTCACAGTACCAAAATAGACAGTAATGAAGAAATAGCAATGGAAACAGACTACAAGCCTCAGCTTCCAATTATACGGCCTCAAATTCTGGATGTCCTTACAAAAAATGCCATAAATGCTATTGGTGTGGCCCCAGAGTGTATGAAAATAATTCATGGTGGAGGATCAAAGCTGGATCTTAAAGTTATGGCACAAGAATTAACCACAACTTTCAAGCCGGTTGAATCCACCATTAAATGATATATAAACAAAATAACTTACTGAACCACAGCTTATTTTTTGAAAAGATGTAAATTTTCAATGAAGTTATTACAGAGAACCATCAGTCACAAACCAGAGCATTTGCGACAAAGTTAGTTTGTGGTATTATAATTCTGTCTTTAATTTTTATTTATTTTATAATCAGGGGGAAGTGCTAAACCCAGAGGGGTCATACACTGGCTTGGTGATGGTGAATTAAATAGGCAGGAACATTTGCTCCATGTCTATCTCACAGGGTATCTTTACCCTTCAACTCTCCAAACGTAGATCTACGTTTTATTTTACATTTGAAGGCATGTAAAATAAAACATAGATCTACGTTTGGAGTGCTACGCAACTGAGCATAGATCTATGTTTTGGACAGTTTAAGGGTTAATACAGTAAATATAATACTGTTTGGAAGACTCAAGATTTGGCCCTCTAATTCATAATTTTGTTATGAAGTTAAGCAGAGCCCCTGCTTATAAAATTGCAACTCTCACTAGACTGGTATTTCACTTTTGTTGAAAGTGTTACCAAGCTCTAAAGAGTAACAAAACTGATTTGTTTTTGCTAATTACTATTAGGCAAATACTAGAATCATAGCATTGGTGGCTATAATTATAGCTTTAATTTTTAAAATGGTGGAGTGGTAAGTCAGTGGAAGGCCTCAGTCAGATTACCAAAAGCTCCAGTTGTGTGTCATCATGTGACCAAGACCCACATCAGTAAATATGTGTCCTGTTTCCTGACAAACTTTACCTAACGTAACTAGAATCATACCTTAAAGTTACTGAGACTTCCTTCAAATATTTTTGTTATAGCATGAAATATCTTTGTATAAACCCTTCATGAAAGGTGCCTTGAAGCTGGTAAATTATTATTATAATCAAGGGGGAAGCGCTAAACCCGGAGGATTATACAGCACCCGGGGGGGGGGGGAATGTGGAAGGCATTCAGGCTTAATTTGGGGAACTGGAGCACAGATCCAATTCCCTAAATCAAGAGCCCCTCACCAACATCAAGGAACCTTCCTTGAGGGGTGAAGCTGGTGAAGGCTCTAGATCCAAAGGATTTGAAGCCACTCTCTCCTTTCTTGGATGGAATCACATTACTTCCCAGTCCCCTATGGGTTTATTAACTCCCCTTTGCCCAGTGAAATAAATACAGTGGACCCACGGTTAATGATATTTTTTCATTCCAGAAGTATGTTCAGGTGCCAGTACTGACCGAATTTGTTCCCATAAGGAATATTGTGAATTATTATTATTATAATCAAGGGGGAAGCGCTAAACCCAGAGGATTATACAGCAGGAATATTGTGAAGTAGATTAGTCCATTTCAGAACCCCAAACATACACGTACAAACGCACTTACATAATTGGTCGCATTTGGAGGTGATCGTTAAGCGGGGGTCCACTGTACATGTATATAAAAAAAAATATATGTTGAAGCTGGGGACTATATGACAATCTTCTAAAGTTGCTGATAGCGCTTGACATGTTGATGAATGCTAAAAACACACACATGGTTGGTTATTTAATTTGTGACTGATATTTAATGTACAACTTTATGTAATACTGTATATAAATATTTTTATTAAGAGCCAAATTCTTTACATATTTTATGCTACTTTACTGATTATATGTATGTATATCTATATCAATATTTTTTTTAACACAACGGCTGCCTCCCACCAAGGTAGGGTGACCCAAAAAAGAAGAAATACTTTCATCATCATTCACTCTATCACAATGTTGCCATAGGAACACAGATCCTACAGTTCAGATGCCCCTCTAAACTGCAAATATCCCCACCCCTCCTGCAGAGTGCAAGCCCTGTACTTTGCACTTCCAGGACTAAATGGTTTCCTGAATCTCCTTACAAATATTACCTTGCTCACACTCCAACAGTTCATCTAGTCCCAAAAACCATTTGCCTCCACTCCTATCTAACACACTCACACATACCTACTGAATGTCTGTGTCTCTTACACACAAAACCTTCTTTACCCCCCTTTCTTAAGGCAACCCCTTACCCTGCCTTCCCTTAACTATAGATTTATACACCCTCCAAGTTATCCTATTTTGCTCCATCCTTTAAATGCCCAGACCACCTCAACAACCCCTTCTCAGCCTTCGGGATAATACTTTCAATAATTCCACACCTCCTAATCTTCAAGGTTACGAATTCCCTTCATAATATTTACACCACACATTGCCCTCAGACACAACATCTCCACTGCCTCCAGCCTCCTTGCTGCAGCATTCACAACCCATGCTTCACACCCATATAAGAGTATTTGTACCACTATACTCTCATACATTTTCCCTTTTGCCTCCATGGATAATGTTCTTTGTCTCCACTGATGCCCCATTATATATATATCTATATCATACATGTATTTTTTTTTTTCAACGAACCAGCCATATCCCACCGAGGCAGGGTGATATATATGTATGTTGTACATAATACCTCTTAAAGTTAGAGAGAAGCTACAGTAAACTGGCACTTACATAAACAAATTTGCATACACATACACAGGTACATTACCTTGAGAGATAAATGTGAATAAAGTTGGCTTCAGAGTCATAAAATTCACATTACTGACTAATGCTCCATCACTAGTAAAATTTTTAATATTTTCACAGCCATATGTGAGACTTAAAGAGTCAGTTCATGTCCAGTACATGTATAAAGAGTTTTCAAAACACTTTGTTAAAGATCTTTCAAAGGCTTAGATATAGGTTTATGTAAATTCATAAAAATGCTGATTTTGTGTAATGCCTGATTATAATTATTAATGTAACCTAGCAGGTTACTAGAGTGCAATTACTGGTCTAGTTTGTATTGTATTGTATATTTTACTGAATCTTCCTCATATGTACCTGAGATTTAAAAGGATCATCCCATCTGAAGGTCAGATTGGATTCCTTAATAACTGAGTTATTCTTACGTTATATGCAGAGATTTTGGATGACTGTTACAGTAGCAGTAATATACACCTCATGAGGAGGAAGAAAAAACTATACAATGTTGCTGAAGGAATGGGGTTAGAATTTTAAGAATGGTTGCTCAGTCCTTCGTACAGGAGTGCCTCACTTACACAGCAGGTTAGGTTCCAGGCCACCACTGTAAAGTGAAACGTACACTTTACTTACCTTAAATTATTTTCATCCTTATAGTGAGTGGTGAATGTATTTATTCTAGGAAGTCTGAATAAATGAAGAATGGTTATAACTGAAAACTGCTGTATTAGCAAAATGCTGTAAAGTGAAGCACAGTGCTGTAAAGTGAGGCCCTCCTATACTCCTTTTATTACCTTCACATTATGGTGAAATTATCATTGAGACAATTTTGTTACTGGAGAAATTAATGTACTCCCAGACAGTAGGCTCACTCATTGTTATAAAATTTATATACAACCTGAATAATGGCTACTAGATTAATTAAGAGCAAAATTCCACATGAGAAGCAATAATTCCCACTTTGGTATGCTATATGACAGCTAAAATAATTCCCCAAGACAATTATGTAAAACTGATGTAATTTTAAATTTTTATCCAAATGTGCTACACTTTAATATTTTTAATACATGGCAGCTTACATTTCCTCTTCATTATAATATTTTGAGTTCATATATTCTCTTAGGACAATAGTACATTTAAGCACAAAAAAAAAAAGAATCTGTATTCCTCCAGTAAATTAGTCAACAGTTAAATTATGATTATTACCTCCTTATCGAGTGTTGTTTTAGCATTGCTTAAGAAAAGGATCTTTACAATTGCATGTCATTTTGCTGTTTTGGACAATTTTCGTGTGTGTCGTACAACATGTCAAAGTTCTTAAATGATTTAGTAATTTCAGAGGTGCTAATCTATGATTTTCCTTTATTACTTTTATAAATTCTCTGGTGATTTAAAAGTCTTTCATAGGTTTCCAAGGGAACAGATATCAGCATCATAAATGCAAAAATTAAACAAATTTCCTATAGTAAATAAGTAATGTATATTCTTTGAAAAAGAATTATACATTACTTGAAACATCAGAAAGCAGAGTACATACAGTAAAACTTCTCATTAATGGATTTTGGCAATTTGGCCAGGCAAATGTTGGAAATAGAAAAAATGGACAAAAGTCTGTAATTCTGGATATTATCTGTAGTGAGAGTCCTGTTGTCTTCCTAAGTATCAGATTAAGCCTGAGGACTCTGACATTTGCCTAATGTGCGCCAGAGCAGCCACATCCAGGACCTGTCAGTGTTTCATCGCTCTCTGAGCAGTAGACAACCTGTGCCAGTTTGTGCACATAAACTCATCAATCAGTCTTTAACTTTCCTGGATTTAAAGTGTTTTGTGTGGCTTTATTAACAGATTAAGTAAAGTGCAATAAACAATGACTTCTAAAGCAAATGGTGGTGCCAAGGGAAAGTGTGTGATTCTCACTGTTAAGCAGTGATTTGACTTAATGAAGAAAGTTGAGTCTGGTGTTTCCATGGCATGGGTATGTAAGAAACAGTGTCTCATATCTGTACAAGCAAGGACTCTTACAGACTCTTAAGTTGAGTGTAGATGGTAGTGGAGCTTTACGGCTCCTCTTATTAAGAATAAAAGTTCTTCCAAGTCACCACTATCAATCACGGCAGTTTACACCTTGTCTCTCCACTCTGAAAATGTAAGTAAAATTACTGTAAATTTTTTTTTTTTTTTTTTTTATCACACTGGCCGATTCCCACCAAGGCAGGGAGGCCCGAAAAAGAAAAACTTTCACCATCACTGTCTTGCCAGAAGGGTGCTTTACACTACAGTTTTTAAACTGCAACATTAACACCCCTCCTTCAGAGTGCAGGCACTGTACTTCCCATCTCCAGGACTCAAGTCCGGCCTGCCGGTTTCCCTGAACCCCTTCATAAATGTTACTTTGCTCACACTCCAACAGCACATCAAGTATTAAAAACCATTTGTCTCCATTCACTCCTATCAAACACGCTCACGCGTGTTATACTATAATAAATTATTACAGGTTACAATACCTGTATTCTTAGCGTCTGGTTGCTTTCTGCATTAGCAGACCAAACCTGCTAGTTCAGAGGACAACCAGATTGTGAAAAATTAAATAATTTGGAAGTTGTGGGCAATTGGCAATAACGTACACCCCCTTCCTCCAGTAGTTCATTAACAAGAGGGTTCACTATATGTATTTGCTAACTACTTCTTTGGGGATAAAAGTTTAAAACTCGTATATTTACCCACTTTTAATTATGATCATTAAATGCATCACATCAAACAAGCCAGACAGTAATGTACATCCTCCATTCATACACATTAACTAAGACTCAACTGCTGTTTAGTCAACTACACACTCATACACCAAAGAAATGGCTTTGCTGAACTCTACTTATGTTTTTATTAAATATTTACTTCTGGTATCATTTATAGATTGAAATGTACAGATATTTTGGGCTACACTATCTGCTCCATTTTAAATTTTCGTGCTATAGAGTTTATATTGAGTGTGATCAAAATAATGTCCCGCTAATATTCTCAGGTTAACTGTGTAAACGATCAAAATTTTTACCATACATAGTCTCAGAATTTTTAAAATATAAATGTATTTAAAAGCTGTGTATTACATTACATATCCAAAGACTTATTTTGTAATAAAACCAAAAATTACAAATTTGTTTCTTTAGCCAACAGAATGTTTTTTTTTTTTTTTCAACAAGTCGGCCGTCTCCCACCGAGGCAGGGTGTATATGTATTAAAAATATAATCCTCCCACAGCAAATTGTTTCTGTCTCACTAAAATGAGGTGACTCAAAGAAGAAAACATTTAACATCACTTCTTGTCATCTCCACCCTTATTTATCCTTTGATCCTCCATCAATTCCTATCCTGCAGCGATGTATGACCCTGGTAGGTTTAGCGCTTCCTTTTGATTATAATAATAATTACTATCACTCACTCCAATGTTTTCAGTGCAAATACAAACTTTATCTCTTTGTGCAGTTTACAAAATGTAGTTTACGTGTAAAAAAATACAGTGGACCCTCGACTTACGATATTAATTCGTTACTGAACGAATTTACTCCCATAAGGAATATTGTAAATTAGATTAGTCCATTTCAGACCCCCAAAACTACACTTACAGAAGCACTTACAAAAATACACTTACATAATTGTTCGAGTTGGGAGCTGTTCGTAAGTCAGGGATCCACTGTATTGTTAAGCACAAAAGAAAACCATTAGCATGCTGTATATTTCAGGCAGAATGCAATTGCATAGCAATCAAATGACCCAGCAAACCCCAACATTCCCATCTATCTTTCTGAGTGCAAGCATCTTACCTCCGTTTCCAGAACTCAAGTCTAGCCAACAGGTTTCTGTATATCCCTTTGGATATTAGTATGCTCACACTGCTGCATATCATGTGTGTTATACCACTTGCCTACACTCTATCATACTTGAACTTCTACTGGATACTTGAGGTAATCTCCCAATACCTTTAACCCTTTCAGGGTCCAGAGGCCAAATTTCAAAGTGTGCACCAGGGTCCAAGAATTTAAAAAAAAAAAATTTGTTATTTTTTCTTATGAAATGGTAGAGAATCTTTTTCTGAAGGTAATAAAACAAAAAGTACGAAATTTGATGGAAAATTGACGAAATTATGTTCTCGCGAATTTTGATGTGTCAGCGATATTTACAAATCAGTGATTTTGCCGACTTTGACTCCCATTTTAGGCCAATTACATTATTCCAGTCGGCCAAATTCTTAGCTATTTCACTAGTATTACTTCTATTCTATCGAGTGAGCACAAGAAATCGCCAAGTCAACTGTTTCAACTACAAAATAAAGTGATTGGAAATTGGTAATTTGGCCAATTTAACACAAAGTTCAAAATAGGGTCCAGAATAAACAATGTGGTATTCCTGGCACTAAACTAACATTTCCTCTGTTCATTAGTTACGTTTTGAGGCTTTACTAATGAATTTAACCACATTTGTGAATGTATATTAGACCGACCAGCTGGTGTGTATTAGACGTGTGAGGTCATTTGTTTACTCTTGAACATCGGCAAAAATTTAACATTTCCGCTAATTTGAACTCAGTTTCAAGCCAATTCCAGTACTAAAACCAATCAAAATCATCTCTATTTCTGTAATATGTCTTCCATTCTATCAAATGAGACCAAGAACTCACAAATACACCTATTTACCTGGAGTTTACCTGGAGAGAGTTTCGGGGGTCAACGCCCCTGCGGCCCGGTTTGTGACCAGGCCTCCTGGTGGATCAGAGCCTGATCAACCAGGCTGTTACTGCTGGCTGGACGCAATCCAACGCACGAGCCACAGCTCGGCTGGTCAGGTACTGACTTTAGGTGCTTGTCCAGTGCCAGCTTGAAGACTGCCAGGGGTCTATTGGTAATCCCCCTTATGTATGCTGGGAGGCAGTTGAACAGTCTTGGGCCCCTGACACTTATTGTATTGTCTCTTAACGTGCTAGTGACACCCCTGCTTTTCATTAGGGGGATGTTGCATCATCTGCCAAGTCTTTTGCTTTCGTTGTGAGTGATTTTCGTGTGCAAGTTCGGTGCTAGTCCCTCTAGGATTTTCCAGGTGTATATAATCATGTATCTCTCCCACCTGCGTTCCGTTCCAGGGAATACAGGTTCAGGAACTTTAAGCGCTCCCAGTAATTGAGGTGTTTTATCTCCGTTATGCGCACTGTGAAGGTTCTCTGTACATTTTCTAGGTCAGCAATTTTACCTGTCTTGAAAGGTGCTGTTAGTGTGCAGCAATATTCCAGCCTAGATAGAACAAGTGACCTGAAGAGTGTCATCATGGGCTTGGCATCCCTAGTTTTGAAGGTTCTCATTATCCATCCTGTCATTTTTCTAGCAGATGCGATTGATACAATGTTATGGTCCTTGAAGGTGAGATCCTCCGACATGATCACTCCCAGGTCTTTGACGTTTGTTTTTCGCTCTATTTTGTGGCCGGAATTTGTTTTGTACTCTGATGAAGTTTTGATTTCCTCGTGTCTACCATGTCGGAGTAATTGAAATTTCTCATCATAGAACTTCATATTGTTTTCTGCAGCCCATTGAAAGATTTGGTTGATGTCTGCCTGGAGCCTTGCAATGTCTGCAATGGAGGACACTGTCATGCAGATTCAGGTGTCATCTGCAAAGGAAGACACGGTGCTGTGGCTGACATCCTTGTCTATGTCAGATATGAGGACGAGAAACATGACAGGAGCGAGTACTGTGCCTTGTGGAACAGAGCTTTTCACCGTAGCTGCCTCGGACTTTACTCTGTTGACTACTACTCTTTGTGTTCTGTTTGTGAGGAAATTATAGATCCATCTACCAACTTTTCCTATTATTCCTTTAGCACGCATTTTGTGCGCTATTACGCCATGGTCACATTGTCGAAGGCTTTTGCAAAGTCTATATATATTACATCTGCATTCTTTTTGTCTTCTAGTGCATCTAGGACCTTGTCGTAGTGATCCAATAGTTGAGACAGACAGGAGCGACCTGTTCTAAACCCATGTTGCCCTGGGTTGTGTAACTGATGGGTTTCTAGATGGGTGGCGATCTTGCTTCTTAGGACCCTTTCAAAGATTTTTATGATATGGGATGTTAGTGCTATCGGTCTGTAGTTCTTTGCTACTGCTTTACTGCCCCCTTTGTGGAGTGGGGCTATGTCTGTTGTTTTTAGTAACTTTGGGACGACCCCCGTGTCCATGCTCCCTCTCCATAGGATGGTAAAAGCTCGTGATAGGGGCTTCTTGCAGTTCTTGATGAACACGGAGTTCCATGAGTCTGGCCCTGGGACAGAGTGCATGGGCATGTCATATATCGCCTGTTCGAAGTCATTTGGAGTCAGGATAACATCGGATAGGCTTGTGTTAACCAAATTCTGTGGCTCTCTCATAAAAAATTCATTTTGATCTTCGACTCTCAGTCTGGTTAGCGGCTCGCTAAAAACTGAGTCATATTGGGACTTGAGTAGCTCACTCATTTCCTTGCTGTCATCTGTGTAGGACCCATCTTGTTTAAGTAGGGGCCCAATACTGGACGTTGTTCTCAACTTTGATTTGGCATAGGAAAAGAAATGCTTTGGGTTTCTTTCGATTTCATTTATGGCTTTTAGTTCTTTCCACGATTCCTGACTCCTATAAGATTCCTTTAGCTTAAGTTCGATGTTTGCTATTTCTCTGACCAGTGACTCCCTACGCATTTCAGATATATTGGCCTCTTTTAGCCGCTCTGTTATTATTTTTCATCGCCTGTAAAGGGAGCGCCTGTCTCTTTCTATTTTACATCTACTCCTCCTTTTTTTTAAAGGAATAAGCCTTGAGCATACATCGAGTGCCACCGAGTTAATCTGCTCTAGGCATATGTTGGGGTCTGTGTTGCTTAGCCTATCTTCCCAGCTTATATCGGTTAGGACTTGGTTTACTTGGTCCCACTTTATGTTCTTATTATTGAAGTTGAATTTGGTGAAGGCTCCCTCATGACTAATCTCATTATGTCGGTCTGGAGCTCCGCGCATACATGTCTGAACCTCGATTATGTTGTGATCTGAGTATATTGTTTTTGATATGGTGACATTTCTTATCAGATCATCATTGTTAGTGAAAATGAGGTCCAGTGTATTCTCCAGTCTAGTAGGCTCTATTATTTGCTAGTTTAAGTTGAATTTTGTGCAGAGATTTAAAAGCTCGTGTGTGTGTGAATTCTCGTAAGAGCTGCCTCCTGGAGTTATCACTGCAACAACATTATTTGCTATATTCCTCCATTTTAGGTGCCTTAAGTTGAAATCCCCCAGGAGCAAGATGTTGGGTGCAGGAGCTGGCAGATTTTCCAGACAGTGGTTAATTTTTAACAGCTGTTCCTGGAATTCTGGGACGTTGCGTCCGGAGGCTTGTAGACTACCACAATGACTAGGTTTTGGTTCTCGATCTTTACTGCTAAAACTTCCACTACATCATTTGAGGCATTAAGCAGTTCTGTGCAAACAAGTGACTCTGCAATATGCAGGCTAACCCCCCCTTTTACCTGTTCACTCTGTCGCATCTGTATAGGTTGTAACCTGGGATCCATATTTCGTTGTCCAAGTGATCCTTCATATGGGTCTCTGTGAAAGCCGCGAATATTTCATTTGCCTCTGTAAGCAGCCCACGGATGAAAGGTATTTTGTTGTTCGTTGGTGGTTTTAGACCCTGTATATTTGCAAAAAAGAATGTCATCGGACTGGTGGTATTGGTGGTACTGGGGGGGACCTTTTTTTCTGGCATTAGTATCTGTATCTGTTGGTTTGGAGTGGAGGCCATCGACTGTGGTTCCACTCCAGGAATGACTGAATTTGGTGTACGATTTCTGCCATTTCCTGCCAGTTTTTTTTCCTTCCTGGCACTAAAAAACCTCTCCCTCTTGAGTGGCTGTGGCTACCCAGGTTTTCCCATGGCCTGGATGTTTTGTATCTTTTTGTCCCCTTTAGATGGTGTGCCTGGCAATTTAAGTTATAGCACAGTCTTTCCTGTACTGAAGAGGGACATATTTCAGGGTGAAAAAAGCTTACAGGAAGGGAGTTTGCATTTTCCTGTTGTCATATGGGCACGGCATTTTCTAGGGTGGTCAAGTTGCACGTCCCATCTGTTTTTCCAGATTT